CTGAACTACAGCAGAGTCGTCAAAAATCGAAATATTTGCAGAATATTGCTAATATCGTTTCTCCAAGCAAATCATGACGATTCAATGATACAGTAGCTGGCTCGACATAAAGCTGCGTAAGCGCGTGCTCGATAATATGATTGAAAATTTTCGAAGGCGAAATCCAGAGTAGCATTGTCACAAGTGACAAATTGTGCGGTATTTGTAAGTCTTGACGAGGTGTAGAAAGAAGTATCGAGAAGTTTGAAGTAATAGGCGACAATAATTTAATTTTCAAGATTCACAAGGTCCTAATTGTCAAAAGGTTCTTTCACAAAGCAGTAGCACGCTGTATTGCAACAATCCAGTTCAATGTTGATATTCAGAAGAACAGTTGTCTTGAACACAGGTAGAAACGAGGCTGATTCAGACAAATATTTTACGGGACAGGACTCTGACAAACATTTTACTCCACGTTAGCCAAATGGAGGCTTGTTTTCGGACTTCGGCAGAAGAATTGCATATCCACGTCACAGCGACTTCGTCGCAGTTTCGACGATGTACTGCGGTCTGTACGAAAAGCAGAAATGGCAAGCAATGATTGAAGCTCGTCGTCAGGAGTCACATACCATAGTGCATTTGTTTTCTTGAAAGGTGAAGTAGGAAGAAGTATGAGTTTCATTCAATTTGTTCCTAATCGCCCGGAAATTAGTCCTCAAAACCATCGGAAGCCACATCTGTTCCTGCGGGGAGAATTTTTTAGAGCATGTTGTCAACCGCCAAGACAACGGTGTATCGGTCACCGAGCGGACAGCAGATCATTCCCAGGCAGTGGCGAAGCCTCGACAGTTAGGTCTATTATTGAAGAATATGATGAGCGAATAGAGGAATAGGATTTTAGAGCGTACAGAAATAAACCAAAGTGATACAAAAACAAATTTAAGAATTCCAGCCAAACTGGGCCAGAAAACCCGGAGAACCAGTAGCACAAGCAATAACTCATACACGCAGGAGTACTGGTTAATCATGATGTTGAAAATTTTTTGCAGTATACAAATAAACAGTGTTTTATGCCGTTTATCCAAATGGATTGAAACTACGTTGACTATTTGAATCATCGAAAATTTGAGCTACGGTAGAAAATCTGGCGTTAGTACCTGTTTTTCGTAACACAGTACTTTCTACAAATGTTAACCATTGTCAAAGGTTGCTAGTACGTTACAGGCAAAGTTGCCAGTAAGAGTCTTACCAAAGGTAAAAGAAATTTTATTGATTGTTGCTGAAATTAAATCGTATCGATTTTCATAGAAAGTAATCAGTAGTGTTATTTCACTATTCTCTTGTAAATGATGTGATTGTTATAGGACTAACAAACTGCGGCAAAATGCAGGAAACATGTTTGGTGCTTTCACTTACTAGTTAAGCGCAGATATTTTCGACCTTGACAACATTATAAAACTTCCCATCCGGTGCAGACGATTTTCAAAAATTGATCGCATA